AGTATCAAAGAAGGGTGAAATTCCTAAATGTCTGAATAGCCTCCAACTTATAGATGTGGTCGAGAACACACCGATAAGAAGGACTCTACTAGACACGGCTCCGAGACATCCTAGGACATTTTAAAACCTTAGGCTCTGATACCAAGTTTTGTCACGCCCCAAAATCTGAGGAGCGCAACCGGCGCTCAACCGAGTAAACCCGACCGAGCAAGCCTGTTAGATCTCATTCTACCCAAACTAACTCATGAATAAATTGGAGATGGACTCCATTAATCAAATTCTATAAACATATCATTAACAATTTCCATTTCATTTTCATTAGCAACTTCATTAGCAATATTAAAGGTATTAGAAGTTTATACATCATTGCAAACATCAATATTTCAATTTTAAATCCCCAATGTCCGACACTACCCACAACCTGTCTACGGAGCCTCTAAATACAATTGCAGAATAATATGGAAATGCCGGCAACAAGGCTCCGGCTATACCTTACACAAATACCAATATAAATTTCGGAGGAAAGGCGGCATGAGCCACGTAGGGCCCGGAGAGGAAAGGGGCTCACCAATACAGCTGATGGGAAGTGGATGAGGTGCTACTATCGGTGGACTGGAGTACCTGCTATAGAACCACCTACAATCATAACACGAATGTAGCGCCCCCAGCAAAAGGGACGTCAGTACATTTGAATTGTACTGGTATGTATAAACAAACTTCACCCTAAGTAAAATCAAATAACACACACAAGTAATAGACATCAATAGAATCAACGATCAAATGCACATGAAAGAAACAATCAAAGCCAAACAAGTTTTACAATCTCTCCTTCATAAACAAGCATGTAATTATAATGGAAATAACAATCAAATCCACAAAGAAAGAGCAATTCAACAAGTTTACAATCTCTCCTGTTTCCCCTTCCACATTTCCACATCAATAATTTCACAATTTGTTCATAGTTCATTTCAATAGCGATTTCGATCGCTTTCCAACCTTATTACCTCGGCCACCCTTATCACCACAACCCACACCTTATTTCTTCATGTTGCTGCGCGCAACCCGATCCCACCGAACAATCACAATTCACAACAACACAACAACAATAATAATTCACAAAGAATAACGACAACAATCCTCAAGAAACAACAACAATGACCCTCAAGGAACAACAACAACAACAATTTACAAAGAATAACAACAACAATCCTCAAGAACAACCACAACAATTCACAAGAATTTCCATAGCCATAAATACCACTTCATCATATTCAACAACTCATATGCAATTTACGTCACCACAATAATTACCCACAACAAGCCAAATATGTTATTACCACAGTTGTTCCAAGTGCATCATTTACGATTTCCTTCCATCATTTGTTTCTCAGTCTTACCACATAACACTTTCACAATCACACACCCACATTTGGTTTGTTTCCATTTACTTGCACCATCATATCGTAAGACTTAACCAACAACATTCAAGGAACATAAATCACAAGAATTCACAAATAGTTCACATAAGTAAACACATACTTCCATGTCGACATCCTCAAGCTTTTACAAACTTTGCACATAACAAGATAGGCACATCAAATCACTTCTCACAATCACATATAACTTGGTGGTATGGAAATCAACTAAGGCAATCAATTCACATATTCTCATACAAGGTACACATACCGTATGCTCGTCACAACAAGGGGGATCCTACAAGAGTTAAAGTTAGCCATACATACCTCGTTTAAGCTTTCCTTAAGTTACTACAACGTTTCGGAAATTCTAGCAATTCCAATCTAGTTTGAAACATAACAAAATTGAACACAAATTAGAAAGGTATTCATGGTTTCAGCTCATTTGAGCATTTTATCAAATACTAGTTGAGCATCTTAATCTCAAATCTCTTTTTGAAGGTTTTCCTTCATTCCCCAACCAAATCTTTACTTATTTATGTTAAACAATCTTCCCATAAACCTAAGTTGAACATGCATGTATACACAATATTAATACACCCAAGAATCATACCTTAATAACCTATCTTATACTCCAAACTCGAAGTTAAAACCTAGGGTATAGAATCTTACCTCTTAGATGAAGAACTTGTGATTGGGATCTTTGATTCTTGAAGATTGATGCAAGTTTGGATGATTTAAATGTTGGGTTCCTCCTTCTCTCTCTAAAATGCTCTCACCTCTCTCTAAAATCAGTAGAAAATGACCCCAAAATGAACTTTAAAGCCTATATATTAAAATGGGGTCGGGTTATAAAAATTAGAAAATTAACCCTCGAATGTCAAGTCTGCTATAGCAGAATCCACCGCAGAATGGGTATGCGGGCCGCAGATTCGTTGAAGAACTCGTTGCCCAAAACTGGGCTGTTCTGTCTCAATCTGCGACCATTCTGCGATCGCAAAATGGTTATGCGGTCCGCAGAGTTAAATCTGCGATCGCAGATTTCACACAGAATTGCATTTTTCTAGCTTTTGGTAATTTGATCATAACTTAGTGTAGGAAGGTCCAAATGTCGAATGGTTTGAAGCGTTGAAAACTAGACTCGAAGACCTTTCATTTGATAGGTTATCCATCACCTAGAACCTTATAGATATTTAGATATGCTCGTTCAAAGTAGGGACTAGTGCAAGATCGTTGGGAATTTTAGCCTATTATGGACTTTTCCAATTTTTCTTAGACTTAGGCCTTTCCTTGGATCCCAAATTACTTAACGTAAGACTTATACACATATTTACCAAATCCAATGGATATACACCATGTTAATAGCACATAAAAATATTATAATAAGCCTATGTGACACCTCGAAATCTTAAATTACTTAGCGAAAATTTTGGGGCCTTACAATAGCTTCAAATCATACTTATGCAACCGCTCAAAAAACTTTCTCAGGTCCCGAACGTGGTCGTCCTATGTCCTAGATTTGATGATCACATCGTCCACATACACATTGATTTCTTGGTGCATCATGTCATGAAAAATGGCAGTCATGGCCCTCATATAAGTTGCCCTAGTATTCTTCAAACCAAAAGGCATGACCCTGCAATAGTAGGTGCCCCAGGGTGTGGTGAAGGCTGTCTTTTCCGCATCCTCTTCATCCATCAACACCTGGTGATATCCTGCATAACAATCCACGAAAGACTGTATCTCATGTTTGGCGCAATTATCAACAAGGATGAGGATATTTGGCGAAGGGAAGTTGTCCTTAGGACTTGCTTTGTTCAGATCTCGGTAGTCAATGCACACCTGGGTTTTCTCATCTTTCTTTGGCACAGGAACTACATTAGCCAGCCATGTGGTGTATCGGACCACTCGGATCACTCCTGCCTTCAACTGTTTTGTGACCTCCTCTTTCATCTTGTCACTAATATCAGTTTTGAATTTTTCTTTGCTTTTGCTTGGCAGGGGGATAGTCGGGGTAAGTCGGCAACTTGTGGACCACTAAATCGACGTTTAATCCTGGCATGTCATTGTAGGACCAAGCAAACACATCCTTGAATTCAAAAAAAAGTTGGATCAATGCGTCTCTGGTTCTTTCATCTGTGTGAATGCTTATCTTGGTTTCTTGGACTTCTTCAGAACTACCCAAATTAACCGGCTCAGTTTCATTTAAGTTCAGCTTAGGTTTATTCTCAAATTGTTCCAATTCTTGATTTGTTTCCCTAAAAGCCTCCTCTTCATCATATTCCGGTTCTTGATTCATTATTTCACAATTAGACAGCATGTTTGGATCTGGGCATGAAGTCCGCAAGCATGTCATGTTATTTAAAGCCGCATTATTAGAACTGAAAGAAGAATAAGAAAAAGTAACATAAATTAGAAAGAATAAAGAGAGAAGAACGATGGAATATTGATTTCATTTCATTGAATTTTGAAGATAACAAGGTTTACATTGGAATTTAAAGACAATAAGGTAAAAGAAACATCCGAGTTAAACCCTGAAATAACTCGCGATGTAGAAAAGGTGGCAAGACTGGACTACCGGGATTCTCGCCTGACTGGGTACGGAGTAGCCTTCCAGTTTTGCAACTTAGCATTGGGCCCCATATACAGCACCTTAGCGGTGCTCGAGCCTTCTCCTGGCTGAACCATGTGGGTTTCGTACAACATCTGCCTTATAGCCCCATAGATTTCTTCAATTTCCTCAGCCGTGAAGGCCTCATCTTCTTCTTCTTCATTGTACTTGGGCCTGACGAATGTTCTACAGAGATGTGGAACCGGCTGAGGTAACACCCAACCATTGCTCTTTCGTTTATTTGCCCATGTTACATCAGCTTCTGTGGCGCGAAAACCCACACCGAAGAACTTCTTGCTGGCAGGTAGTGTGATGGGTTCTATGATTCCTTGCAATGATGTCCCGAGCCCCTTCTCGGGTTTATAACCATGCCTGATCATTTCCTTGGTGACCATAATTGACGCATTTGAGAGAAAAGGTTAAGGGCAAGGGCTTCCTTCTTCATATTGGTCTGCGACCACAATGTCGAAAGCTTGATAGACTATATGTTCACTACCTTCCATAGCTTCGAGACATGGGACTGACGGGTCCTGATAAATGGACTGTTCATCCTCTCTGTGGACTACAATATCCTGATCTTCATATTCAAATTTCACCATCTGGTGGAGAGTGGAAGGTACGGCTCCTGCCGCGTGAATCCAAAGTCTTCCCAAGAGGAAATTATAAAAATTATCCATGTCTAGGACCTGAAAGGTCACCTCGCAATCCACAGGACCAATAGTCAAATTCAAATCGATCTCGCCTATGGTGTCTCTTTTGATGCCACCAAAGGTACGCACACAGACGTTGTTAGGCCTTATTCTCTCAGTCCCGATCTCCATTCTTTGCAAAGTTGAGAGAGGGAGAATATCAACCCCGGACCTACCATCCAGCATGACTCTTTTCACATAATACCCCTCACATTTAACTATCAGATGAAGGGCTTTGTTGTGGGCGGCCCCTTCCGGGGGCAAATCATTCTTGCTGAAAGAAATCTAATTGACCGCGAAGAATCTTTCCGCCATCCTCTCCAGTTGTTCAACAGTGGTTTCAATCGGGACATAAGCCTCGTTGAGGGTTTTTATCAACACTTTCTGATGCTCGGCCGAGCATACCAATAGGGACAGGAGTGAAACCTGTGAAGGAGACTCTCGAATTTGGTCTATTACCTCGTAGTCCGCAGCTTTCATTTTGCGAAAGAATTCTTCGGCTTCTTCGGCACTAACTGGCTTTTTGATCGGGAAGCGTTTCTTCTTGGATTTGTTCAATTCCTCCAAGTTAAGGTATTTCTCAGTTGGTTTAGTTTCATTCGCTTCTCCTAAGACCTCTTTTCCTTTGTAAGTTAGTACCGCCTTGTTGTAATTCCATAGAACGGCAGTAGGGTCTGTCATGGGCCTCTGCGGTGCGTGACCATTAACCACGGGCTCATTCAGCCTTGGTGAAATTACCGGCCCCCATACCACATAGGTCCCCTTAGGCACGTACATCTTGGGTCCCTTGTTCATCTCAAATCTTCTTGGAGGGCTCAATGTCTTTTGCTCTTTTCTGTGACCCCATGGGAGATAAAGAATGGCATCTTTTGGGGGTACTGCCCTAGTTTTTTTTCCAATGCCTTTTCTGCATTTTGAGGGGTCGGTTTACTCTTTTTCTCCCCTCTATCTCGTTTTGCAATAGCCTTTGGCTTTTTCTCGACATCAGCGATTGCAATGATGGCTTTCAAAGCAGGATCAAACTTCTTGTCTTCGCAATTCATTCCAATGACCAGCCCGTTGTTGTGAGACGGTAATGGGTTGTTAGTCACATTAGGAACTTCCTCATCCTTTAGCACTATCCGTTTTTGCTCTGTGAGGTTTTCAAGAGCCCTTTTTAGAGTCCAACAGTCTTCAGTGTCATGTCCTGCGCCAGAATGATAGGCACATCGAGTACCGGGTCGGTAAGAAGGCGACTCTAGGTTCTGCCTGGTTTGGGGTACGGGTTGCAACAAACCCATCTGGACAAGTTTAGGGAAAAGGTAGAATATGACTCACCAATAGGCGTGAAGTTTGCTATCCTGGGTGGCTCCTGGGCACGGGCATTATAGGAGAAGTTATTTTGTGGAGGTTGGGGATTATACTGGGCTTGGCGAGGAGGTTGATTTCTAGGAAATGGAGCTCGGTTTTGGTTGAACTGTTGTTGTGGCCTAGCATAGGCCACATCCTTATGAGAATAATAATGTTGTGGGGTTCTTGTAGCGAAGTAAGGTCTGGGTGGACGAGGGTTTGTCGGACCTGAAGTCGCCATTGCCACTTCTTCCTTTTTCTTTCTATTCGCTACACCTCTGGACCCGCCTTGAATTGCTTGGGGTGTATCTCTTATGGCAGATTGGCTCAATATGCGCCCTATTTTCAGACCATTCTCGACCATCTCACCAATCTTGATGGCCACAACAAACGGTTCCCCATCGCAGACATCATATTCTGAAAGTAGTCAGCCTCTTGGGTTTGAAGAAAAACACTAACCATTTGCGTTTCATCCATTGGAGGCTTGACCCTGGCCGCTTGTTCGCGCCATTTAACAGCATATTCTCGGAAACGTTCCGAGGACTTCTTCTTGAGGTTTGACAGAGAATTCCTGCCGGGAGTTATGTCTATGTTATACTGAAACTACCTAACAAAGTCCCGAGCCAGATCATCCCAAATATGCCAACAAGATATATCCTGATCCATGTACCACTCAGAAGCAATGCCCACCAGACTCTCCCCAAAATAAGCAATGAGAAGCTCCTCTTTTCCACCTGTTCCCCGCAATTGGTTGCAGTAACTCTTGAGGTGGGCTATGGGATCCTCATGCCCATCATACTTTTCAAACATTGGGGTCTTGAAACCCAGGGGTAAATGCACATGTGGGAACATACACAGATCAGCGTAGGGTACGCTCTTTTGTCCACTCAAACCCTATATATTTTTAAGGCTTTGCTCCATGCTCCTAATTTTTCAGGTAATCTCCTCTTGCTCGGGGTTCTTTGTGGTTTTCTCCTGTCCCGCAGTAAACTCGTACCGGGGTTGTTGAAGGTAAGAATTGGTGGTGAACTGGGTAGGTTCTGGTGGAAAAGATGGTACTTGAAAGGTGAAAGATGATGGATCAAAGCTCGACCTGGGTAAAGTGGGTTGCACCGTAGCCGAAGAAGGTGGCGCAGTGAATATGTTGGAGGCCGCACCTGAAATTAACACCTGGGGGAGAACCTCAGAAGGTGTTCCAACAAAGTGGGCTGAAATGGTAGGATATCCAAGTGGGGTATTCGGGTAACTTATTGGGACGTTGGAAGTCCCACTTTCCCTGGGAAGCAGCTCAGGGAAACCAGGTATCGCGTTCGGTGGTTCTCTACCATTGGACCAGGCGTCCCACATTTCCATCATGTGGAGACGCAGAATTCTATTTTCCTCAGCAGCCGCTGACTCTGAAGTTGGGATGGCCGAGATCGGGCTATCCTCCAGGATAGGAACTGTTGGCAGATGACTTTCCGACGACATTTCAACACTTCCTATTGATCTTGTAAAGTACGGATATGAAGCTAGATTACCACAAAACCAACCACCTTGATATAGAACCTATACTCAACAGCAAACAGAACAAACAGGTTAGTGTGAGACAATTAACACATAGGTAATCGCACGTTGGGGGTGTGATGCACCTATACAGTTAAGTGTGTTTTCTATATGTTTTTCAACGGTTGCGTGTTTCATCCCGATTTTTGTTTATCTCCCCAATTTTCTCTCTTGCTCTTTTTGCACCCTCATTTTCTCTCTTTTTGATTTTTTCTTTTGGCTTTCTCTCTCTTTTCTTTATGGTTTTTCTTTTGGCTCTTTCCTTTCCACAATCCTCTTTTATTTGAGTTATTTACAAAAATCATGACCGGATCTGATGAGGATTGCCTACGTATCATGATGCCGCGTGAATCAGATCATCACGTAGTTCAAGGAATAAATGCAAAAAAAAGGAAACAATTTTTGGGATTTTCCAATTTTTCATTAATAAAAGCTATATTGTTCTCTATTACAAAAGTCTCTATCATACTCTTTCTAGGAATTTTAAAACTACAAACTGACTCGAAACATACTTTAAAAACTAGAAACTGAAATACAGACTCAAAAATAAAAATAAAAATCAAGAGTGCATAAGTGCTTCTACTCCAGGGGCCCGTGGGACATCAATCGGTCTTGCCACGGGCCTATGTGCAAGATCCCCTTGAAGACGCTCCAGGTCACTCATTATTTTACGAACAAAGGTCATTACCGCAGCAAAGAAGGTGGTTCGAGTCATGTCTTCACATTCTTGGCATTTCATCACGATGTAATCAGCAATTGCTCTAACCCTCTCCCTGATGATACCATTTTCTTAGAGCAAACGCCTGATTTGCTGAGACCTAGCTTCTAGCACTTGGGTATCATGATGGTTTTGACCCTGCAGATATTGCATATCTTCCTCTAGCTGGGACATTAATGCATAGCAATGTTCCCTTTCTGCATTAAAGTTCTTAACTTGCTTGGCCATCTCATTTTCGAGGGTAGTTAGCCTTTTCTTCAAAGTTGTGACTGTTCCCTCGTATTTCCTTTTCAACTGTCGTATAAACTCCGCCCGTCCTTTTATTCTTTGTCAGCTGTGCTCGGGCTCTTGCTAGATTAACCTCAGATTTTTCTAAGTCATCCTGATACTCAGATACTTTCCTTTTAAGACCGCTTATCAGCCTTTCATCTGTTCGGCTCCTTTCCTGGTTCTAAGCAGCTATTTTCATTTTTTGGATCTGGGCGCGAAGGGCTTTGTTTTCTTGAGCCAGCTTCTTCTTTTCCCCTTCACTGGCAGCATCTTGTATACTATTGTCAAATTTGAGATCCCTGATTTGTCCCTCCAATTTGCTTATCTTGGCCTTGTAGCTTGCCTCTTTCTCCAACCAATCCCATTGCCCCCAGGAATCGTCTGTGAATTGCTGGACGTGGGGTCTTTTAGCAGGCCGTTTGGGCTCCTGATGGATTTGAAATCTTTTCCCAAACCAATTCATGTAATTAGGCTCTATTTCGCCTTTAGATAGATCCCGCACCCGAGTCTTTGGCTCTAAAAATCTACACTTATTCGAAATCTGACGAACTTTTCCTTCTGGGAATACAGCTTTTGGACCCAATTCAATAACCTGTCGACTCAGATCTTCATCATGTGGGATAGTTTGGCACCTGCCTTGTTGCCACAGCACCCTGTGTGGCACATATGGTTGAATGCTCCGGAGGCCCAATAAGAGAAGATAGCACACCTCGGGTGACATGTAAATGACTTAAGCGATAGGGAGCCAACCGAAAGTCCACTCAATTTTGTCCGAAGTTAAGGAACTCAAATGTGCTAACCAAGCCTCTGTACCTTCTGGAAATTCACAACACACCACTCGGTTTTCATACTCTTCAATGCAATTCAGACCAATCATGTCGTAGTTCATGTACCCCAAGCGGTGACAAAGATGTTCTTGTATCCAAAGTTGTAGGAGCAGGTTACAACCCTGGAAGAATTTTCCCCCTTCTCGGCAGATGGTTAAAGCTTGGTAAATCTCTGCTAAGATCATTGGAACAAGGGTGCCATTAGCTTTTTTAATCATGACATCGACCATTCCTACAAGTCCCAATTCTATTTTTCCATCTTTTCTAGGGATGATTATGACACCCAAGAACACCACGATAAAAGCCAAACCCCGCCGTGCCTCCCATTTATCTTTGTTTCCTGAATGAGTTAGGCCACTATCCGGTGCCTCAAAACCGTGAGGATTGCCATAGCGCTGGTACAAGAAGTGGAATGTGCAAAACCCTTCGGATAAATTCCCATCCTGAACCTCCCGACTGATGCTCAATAGATCTAGAAACTTGTGAGGAGACACTGTTCTTGGAGCCACCGGGTACCGACTTCTGAGATTCCCACTAAGACCGGCATAGCCCGCTATTTCCTCCAGCGTTGGGGTGACCTCAAAATCAGAAAAATGAAACACATTGTGAGTCGGGTCCCAGAAAGGTATCAAACCCTCAATCACATCCAACCTTGGTTTGATTTTTAAAAGACCGAAAAGACCGCCCAGAACTTTTACCACAGTACCCCTGCTGACTTTTCCTAAGTCGTTCCACCACATATGGAGCTGTAATGGGATTTCCTCAAGAACTGCGAAGGGTTCATTTTTAATTATGCTCATCCTGCATATTTATTAGGGTGATTTGGTTAAAAGATCATGACTTATTTTGACTCAAAAAAAGTTATCAATTTTCTCCAAAATTTTTCATTTCAAAACAAAGACCCGGCCTTGCAAATAAGGCCCTCCAGCACTTCAGAGAAGAAGATTTTAAGGCTGTGTTTGCTAATCGGCCAAAAATTTGAAAAAGAAACCATAGGTGGCTGTTCTTGCAAAATAGCCTCCCGGCGCCCTTTTGGGGATATTTTGGCTATTTAGGCAAGAATGACATCACCTTACTTATTTATGACAAAACAATAAAATTTGTATTCTTTTTGGGTTATTTTGAAAAAATGGAGTTGGACACGGTGAGGGTTGCCTACGTATCCCACATCCGGTGAGAATCAAACTTGTGTAGTTCGGGCAGTTTTGACATAATAAAAACAATACCAAATATTTTTTTTAAAAGAAAATTTTCTTTCTTTTTTTTTTCAAAATTTTGGCAGAGTTTCGGTACTTTTGGACATCGGGTTTTTTCAAAACAGGTAATTATCTCTCTCAGCCCTCAAATTGATTTTTCTCTTTCCCAACTTTTCTCCATTATTCATAAGCCGGTAAACATGCAATCCAAAGCAAATAAATGCACAAGTAACAAGTAGAATGCATCAAGATGGTCTTTTTATTTCGGGTACACCTGTCCTAGACAGACACAACCCCTGTGTTGAGTCTCCAAAGTCAAATGCACGTGATGCAAACAAGCGTTCCTACTAGGGATCCGGCATGAAGCTTTGTTATACTAGGTTTAAGAACCTAGGTGTATTGTTCTAGACCTAGCTTACCCGAGCGGACAGCTCGAGCCGAGGGGGGGGGCAGCGTACCGGGAATACAGAAGCTTCACCGGCTTTGCAACTTGTCCGAACCTCGTTCTAAAATTGGGACAAGACTCTAACAGAAAAGAAATCACACGAAGTGCACACTTCCCAGATGATTTAGAAGACTCAGAGAGAAAAGGGTTTCGCAGCAATTTATATACAATCCAAACAATATCAAAGCGGTAAAAGCGGCATTTAGCACATTAGGCTCAACATGTAAAAATCAGATAAAACAAGCCAACTATAGCAGTTATTCTAAGCTCGAATTCCTAAACCATGAACCAAAGTTCTGGATTTTGATCCCCAGCAGAGTCGCCAGAGCTGTCACACCTCCTTTTTACCACCCGAGAGGGTATAAGGGAGTTTTTCCAATTAAAGTGACATTATTCGAAATGAGATAATTTTATTTAATCAGAGTCGCCACTTGGGATAGTTTATTTGGTGTCCCAAGTCACCGGTTTATGTTAAAATCCCAAATCGAGGAAATTTGACTTTTATTTTTTAAAGTCTGCGAACCAGAAATTCTAGATAAGGAATTCTGTTAACCCGAGAGAAGGTGCTAGGCATTCCCGGGTTCTGTGGTTCTAGCACGGTCGCTTAAACTATTACAATTGGCCTATTATCCGATTTACTACGTGCTTTAGCCTATGGTGCATTTTTAGCTTATTAACCGCTTTTAATTATTTTAGGAAGATTCAACGTTATTTAAAACATGCCTTGAACCACGCCACATGAAATGCACCCACGGTTCGCGACACGTTCTATTTAACATTGTTAGGAAATGAATTTGGGTTACATGAAA